AATGTGCGACTTAAGTTGTCAGGGGATAGTCAACCTGATTAAAGACAATAAAATGAACAACAACAAAAAAAACCTTCTTTTTATTTACATTATTTATATTGTTCGAACTATTGTCCTCATCTTTTTTGTCACATTCACGACGTTTCGGCCGTTGTGCGCTCCGGCCTTCTTCAGATTATATACATTGGAATTTCGAATCGAATCCTTTATTTTGTCAATTGGGCCATGTGGATGAAAGCGTTGGTTGAAGTAATCCAGTGATGCCAAGGGTTGTGAGTTCAATACCTGGCCACAGATGAGATGAACAAACACTTGGAGAGTTGAGTTACTAAAAAAGAAGATAAATGAAATTGAGATATCCAGAAAAAGGCATGGCACGTGGAACTAGAACAATCTACCCCGGTGGATGAAATAAAAGGTTCGGTTCGAAATTCAACGTGTATCACCTGAAGAAGGCCGGAGCGGACATCGGCCGAAATATTGTAAATATGACAATAAAGATGAGGACAACAGTCCGAACAAGGTAAATAATGTAAATAGTTATAATACCTCATCTTAGAAATATAGACAAACCTTTTTTCCTTTCTTTTCGCATGTCTTTTTTCATAAAATAAGAAGATTGTGCTGCGCCAATATTGAAAGTATAGAAGTCATCTTTGCTATGAAAATGAGTAATAATGCTTTCTAAGATTAGTTTGGAAAAGGATTATAAATACTAGGGCACTTATTGAAGACGAATTCGTTGTAGCAGCGAAAGTTTTCCAACTATTGAAATTAAACAACATTGAACCTGGTCAGTACCTAGATGAGTGACCACTTGGTAATACCAGGTGCTTTAAGCTTGGATGTGCGGGTGGTGTAATGGATAATGGTTCGGAATTGTTAATCAGAGAGCCGGGTTCAAATTCCTGTTATGTTCGTTATATTTACTTACGCGAAAAGACCTTTGAAAGAGGTATGAATCAACCTCTATTCCCCCAGCTATGGGTTAATTAGTAAGACATATATGGCTAAGTAATTATTATCTTTAAAAAATTCTTACAATTTAAAAATATTTTCTGGTTTTAAATAACCTGCAAAAGGTTGATAAGCCGTAGAAAACGAATTGATCATATTACGATTTTCACTTGCGTACATATTTTCCAATTATCTTAATAAGTAGTAATTCTGAGGGACCAGTTTATTACTTAATGATAATAGATAAAAGGTCCCCTACTTTATGCCCCGTATAATCTTATGTTAATACGTGTTAGAACATTCCGTCAAAAATGACCATATATTTGCTAAGTCCTTGGTATTATTAAAAGATTTTCACATGTGAGTCTTTAGATATATTCTTTCTAATTATTATCATATGTAGTAAATCTAAGAGTAAATCGCTTTACGACTAACTACAGGCGTTGGACAAAATAATTGGAACACTTGTTAAATTCAAAGAAAATTTATTTAATATGGAGTTGGTCCTCTTTTAGCATCACAGACAGCTTTAATACGTCTGTGGATGGAATCATACTTCATCCAGAGGAATTTTAAGTCACTCTTCCATTAAAACCTTCTCCATCTCTTTACGACACGACGGTGGAGGATAGCGGCTCCTAACTTGTTGCTCCAAAATGCACCACAAATGTTCAATAATATTGATATCTTGACATTGGGGAGGCCACTCCATGTGTTCTAGCTCACTGTCATGCTCTTCATACCAATTCTTAACCACTCGAGCGGTATGTATTGGAGCATTATCGTCTTGGGAGATCCAGTCACCATCAGGGAATAAAGTCTTGGCCATTGGATGAACATGATCTCCCAAAATGTTCAGGTAATCTTTGCTGTTGATTCTACCATGCAGGGCAACTATTGGACTGATATTTCCATGATATGGCGGCCCAAACTATCACTGACCCATCTCCATGATTCACTGCTGGAAGAAAGCAGTCAGTGTTGTAAGCTTCTTTGGGCTGCCTCCACACATAGACTCGCCTTGAAGTTGGGAAAAGAGAAAAACTGGACTTGTTTGAGAATATGACTTACTTCCATTGATCTGCAGCATTGTGATCTCTGCACCACTTCAACATCTTTTCAATGTTGCGAATAGAGAGAAGTTTTCTCACAGCGGCTTTTCCGTGATATGCAGCCTTATGGAGCTCACAGTGAACAGTTTTAGTAGAAACTGAACTATTCAGATGGTTATTCAACTCAGCAGTCACTTTGGCCGCATTTGTCCGATGATTTTGTGCCACAGTGCGTTTCAATGCACGTCAGTTCCTGTCAGTAAGTTTGCAAGTCCGGCCCGAATTGCTACCGTTGCTAGAGGCCCTTTTCCTCGAATTGCATCAGTGTTTTTGATACAGTACCTCTTGAAAAACCAAACAGTTCAGCAACCTTAGTGATCGAGGCTCCTGCCATGTGAGCTCCAACAACTTGCTCTTTTTCGAACTCGGAGAGGTCATGCATTTAGCTTAAATTTTACTAAATTCTAAAAATAAATAAGCCAAAGACAGTAAATTAGATAAATAAACGTATTTACAATAGATATAATCTTGAATTAAGAAGTTTTAGTTAAAGTTCTTAGTATAATAGGTCTTTGAAATATAGGAGTGGAATTTGCAACTGTTCCAATTATTTTGTCCAACCCCTGTATACAAACAGTGGTGATATACGGGAAGACCGGAAGTAGATCCATTTTCATAGCACTGCCTAAGAAGCCAGGTGCAAACGAATGTGAATTTCATCGGACACTCAGCTTAATGAGACATAACAAAATTTATCACATAAATGGCGATGAATAGCGTGCGCAGCAGAATTAGACAGGATAAGCCACAGAAAGCGAATCAATCAATTACAAACTATTGCTCTATAGCAGGCGCCCACTGTTTACTAAATATAGTTTAGACTAACACATTGCTAACTTGAGGGGGAGGAAATAATAGTGGGATATTGTAACACATTAAAAAAAAATAAATAACCTGCCTTCTTAGAAAATCCACATTCGAAATGCTGACTCTTTCCAGATTTGAAACCCGAAGAGTAGCGTTAGGGTAGCTTTTTCCGATCAGTAGGCTTAGAGTTGGTGCATCCATGAGGTCGCTAAAAAAAGAGCATAGCATGATGAGAAAGACGCCAAACTTGACGAAAACAAAATTTTATCGTCTAAATGTTTATGTTATTATTAAGAGGAAAGACCAAAGTTTTTTTTTAAAATTATTTTTAAAGATTTTTTCCTTCTTTTTAGAGCATTCTAAATTTTGATTAAAAAAACCTTGTTTCTCTTTGTATCATCGGGACTAGTAAAATAACATATACAATTTTTAGCACGTTTTTTTTTGTATGACAGACATTAATTTGGAAAATCTGGCAAAAATAAAAATAATTGTCTGATGTTAGTGAAACTATTCACAGATGATGGAAATTATTATAAATATGTTTTTTTTCATTAAAGTCATGGCAGAGATATTTTTTATATTTATCCCCCATAACTAATTTTTTTATGAAAACTCTAGAAATTCAATCGCATTCAGTTTAGTGATTATATTAGTTAAAAGCACAAGGCTTTGAGGAAAGCAAACCATTTTTTTTCTTATTAATTGGACCCTCCCATCTGAAAATCAGCTCTGAATTGTAACATAAAAAACTCAATAAAACAAATATATTATATAATTTCAAATGCTTTTATTTGTCTTTAGATGTTTTTATGAATATGGACAATATTTTTTGAAAGCAAAAGATCTTTTCGATGAAAAATGAATTTTTAATACAATTATTTGTTATTACTTTAATTATAATAGATTTTTACATTTAAGTTGTTAAAATATTATAAAATTAGTTGATGGTTGTATTTAAAAAGTACGGAAGGTCACAAGCAATAGAACGTCACATGGCTTGAGTGTAAGCGTTCTCCGCTGAACGTCCATCTCATTATTGCAAATTCTTCGTGCGAAACACATGTTGAACATTTTGAATTAGCGTTTTTACTCATTTAAAAATTTACCACCATCCTAAGCCATTTTCAGCAGCAACATTACTACATTTTTAAAAGTACCATTTTATTAAAACATGACATTAAGACATGAATATTGTCCCAGTTTAAGCTTCCTACGATTACGACTTAACATTCGGTGTTGAGATACACAGATTCGGAGAAACATTGATTTTAAGATAAGGGAACGTTCAAAAAGTTTTTCTTATATAATTGAATAAACAATTCTTCTTCAGTTTATGTCATTTCGGATAGCGAAGGATACCCGTACTAATGTCGGTCTGTTGGAAACTCAAAATGATGTAAAGTGTATTTTTGAAAAGCGGGAAGGAGATACTTTGATTTGATTTAATATTGTTATTAATATTCGTCAAAATGATTTTTAATTGACACCACGTGATTCTACTCATCAAATTACATGAGAATCAGAATTAAACTGGAAATGCAGAAAATCTATATTTCCTCTAACATTATTATCTTGCTTCCCTTATCCAATTGACGTCACCTTCCCTCACAGAAACAATGTCTTTTATTGCTTATTGAATTCACAGATCATTTAACTATTCTTAACGGTTTAGCACGTCAGTTTACAATCGTCAATAAACAGTGAACGCATCCTTTTCATCGGGAAACCTGCTTATCCGTAACAGCTGCTCTTCCGATTGAGCTACAAGAATCTACGGCTGGTAGAAGATCAAATCTCTCTCTCTCTCTCTATATATATATATATGAAATGAGAACGAATCAAATATAAATTCAAACGTTCATAACATTAATTTAAAAATACGTCTCAATCTAATACTAGAGCAATATTCTTTATTATAGGATATTACATTGGAACATTATGTAAAAACCCGCTACTCATGTTTCGATGCATATCATCATATCTCATCTGGCAGTAGAAAATGAGGATTAATACTGTTTTTAATATTTACTTACAAACAACTTCTTTTCCCGCGAAAAAGAAAGAAAATAAGAAGAGTAAAGAAGAAAGAAAGACACAAGATTTAGTCTCTCTTCTATAAAGAAAAGAAAGAAGAGAGAAAAAATATTATATTTTATTTCTTCTTCTTCCTTTTCTTTGTAGAAGAGACTATATCTTGTGTCTTTCTTTCTTCTTTACTCTTCTTATTTATACCTTTTCAAAAAAATCTTCTCCATCCAATCCCCCACCCATTTACTTGTTTCGTAACACGACAGCCATCTTTAAACACTCTCACACAAAAATCCCTCTTGACACAGCTTCACACAATTTCTGTTTATCTTTTCCTTCTCTACATCTTCTTATTCTCCCTCTTTCTCTTCCATTTCTTCTTCTGTTTCTCTACCCCCCCATCAGAGTCCATTTCTTTTTGCCACGTTTCCCAGTTAAAATTTTCCTTCTTCCCCCACTATATAGCTCGCTCTTCAACACCAATCTTCTGATTACTAAGCTTATATCCGATACATTGTTGCTGAACGTTAATTTCCGCCTCAGGATCCCGAAGGTACACAGCATGTGCGGGCCAGTGCATGTTGGGATGATGGATTTAAACCGGAAGTGCAAGACAGTTCAATGCTATCGGAGCCGCCATTGAAACAACTGCAGACAGCACCACCTAGTTTTAGCAGACGGTAGCGAGCGGTCAACCTTGGAGAGGTTGTCTCTCGTTCCCAACAGAAGCCGTTGTCATAACGACGACGTGGGCCATGAAGTGTGACGACGAAAATCTTTTATGAAATAACGCTGGACTGATAAGGGAAAAATAATAGGATTCTCGTATGTTTGGAAGAAAAGTTGTCTCTATTTTATTATATACGACATATATGCATTTTCCAATATTGTATCTGAATCTTTTTACCCATTCTTTCTCTTTATCGCATACAGATTGAGAAACACAGAACGAACACAGAGAAACGCAGATTTTACTTGTTTTTTCTTTTATATATTTTTATCTCAAAACTCATCTCAAAATTCTTACTACGTTACTTAAAAAACGAAAGCTGAAAAGAAAAAAGAGAAATAAATAAAAGAAAAACAAGTAAAATAAATTAAGGCAAACAAATAAATAAATAAACCACTTCCGCCAAAATAAACGTTCGAATAGACTACCCACAATGCACCACTAACCCGTATATACAAATAGACGAGAACCCCCACCCCACAAAAAATATAACGCATGTGGCCTGATGATTGCGTTTGGCATAAAACAGTCTATCGCCTCTGAGTGCTGACTTCAATGTTCATTTTTATATTTACATACGCTCTATCTCTGATATTGAGTACCTCATCCCATAAATATGGAATACCTTAAAACTATATATATATATATATATATATAATAGGAATAAGAAGATTCTGCTTAAGCTTGCAGATAGGAAAAAAGAGTTCTCTATACCATATTAAATGGCAGAGCTTTAATATATTTTAAATCAGGTTTCAAGTGGCCAGTTTCAAACAATCTTCGCGCAATCATCAGGCGATCGGTGACCTTTTACTGCCAAGCCTGTCCAAGATGGTAACCAAACTCACTGGGAGGAGGGTGAACTATCAGACCAACATCAAAATAGCCTTAAATATCACAATTAATAAATAAAAACACCAGAAATGGTTTAACGGTGCTAAAAAATTGCTCAACGTTATGGGGAACAATAAGCGAAAAGTGCTCGACAATACCGGGCCCTTAAAGTCACCCATGAGTATTATATTAATAGAAATGAGAATAAGCAACCCCAATATAGTCTGCTTAAGATTTTACTCAGAACTTTTCTTTACCGACGCGTTTCGTCCTCTGATAGACATTGTCAAACCAAATGTAAGGATTTAATTTCAGAGTAAGTATTTATAAACAGGTGTAAAAATGTCGTTATTTTATCAAATTAAAATAAAACAATAAATAATAATTACAAATAATTATAAATATTATAATTATAAATATTAACAAAATCCAACAACAACAATAACAACATTTACTCATTTTCGTTTATTGGGCAGTAAATTACATCACTTAGCATCTTCCATAGTTTACCTTGGCTTTCACAGTTAGTCTAAAGAACATTCATGAGCGTTCTTAAATTTGAAAAAAATAATTGCAAACCTAACGACATTTTTACTTTTTATTACATTTAAATAATTGTTGCAAAATAAAATCCGTTCATTTGCTTTGATAAAGTTTTTTTTAATCTCTTATGTCTCTCTCTCTCCCTCCTCTCTCTCTCTCCACTCTCTCTCTCTCTCTCTCTCTCTCTATATATATATATATATATATATATATATATATATATATATATATATATCCATGAAAAAACAACATTCTTCGAAAACACCAGAAGACAAATAGAAGAGAGCTAAAAGAAAAGCCAGAGTTCTCCATCCCCTAAACCCTCCTACCCTACCATGTGGTGGTTGCGGACGTCTATTCAGATCCAACATAGGGCTCATGACCCACAGAAGGAAAAGTCGATGAGCGCCCTAATACTCGGGAATGAGTTCCCGCCAATGACGATATATACAGCGGGCACCAAGCATGTAAGAACTTTTAGTGGATCATAAATAAAAAAAGACTTAATTTAATGTTACAGAGTATGCATTAAAGGTTTTCATTCTCATTTCTCTTTTAGATATCCTTAAAGCAATGACAGCATCTTCAAGTCTGACGCAGGAATCGAAAAGGCACACCGTTCTTGTGGCACTAACCATAAACCTTGTAGGCTTGACCAGAGCTAGAATTCTTGAAAGAGACAAAATGGAGGAAGAACTAACGCTATGGGGGCATAAGTCATGATGCACTTCAAATTCATGTCGTCTTGTAGTCGTGAAAAACGGTAGCTATGTCATATCACCCTTCTTCATAATGGGCTAAGAATACTTTCATCGTAAGGATATCATAGATTTCTCGTAAGACACTGCACTATCCCAACATAGTCAATGTAACCCCGATGTGGTAGGCTGTAAATTTTCTAGATCATGTCAGTCCCCCCCCAAATGACTTCCTAGCTATTCTTATTTGAACCGCCTGGCCCAATATAATTGGGACATCGTTCAGGAGGAGACCATTCGTGGCGCCCCTAATACGAAAGCCTCGTTTTAGGCTGCCATCGTAGACATTTTAGCCAACATGAACGAGTACCATTTGATCCGGGTTTGCAGTTACTTCGAAACTGAATCAAGACACCGCTCAAGGCTGAGACTGGAATTTTTCTTTTGTTTGAAGACGAACATGTGTAGATTTTTAAAAAAATATACGGAGTTTTTGCTGTTTGTTTAACGGATTCAGCCACATAGGATTTTCGGTTAAACAAATCCAGAAAATAGTGCTTTTGAACTCACATTCTGTACCGAGCCTCGAAGTTCTACGTAGCCGAATCGTTTAAACACATCAGATCTGATGACGGTTGGGCATAGGGGATGCAGGTTCGAATTCTGCATATTTTCTGACAAGATTTCCCCGAATATTAAGGTCGATAAATAGAATTAAATAAAAATACTGTTCAATTAAATAAACAGAGCATTTACTCGAATATGAGTAGCCATCTAAAATAAAGTTTAAGCAAAAAAATTAAAATATGTCAGATTTAATCATTTCGTAAAAGATTATTTTAAAAAATATGACAAACTGAAAAGTTTTTTTTTCTGATGCGTTTCATCATTATTGACGTTGCTACGTCTACACATGCGCACGAAACGAGAGACGTAGGTAGTTTCAAAATTTTCAAAGCCAACACTTATGAAATCGTAACGGATGAAAAGCATCGCAAAAAAAACTTTTCCAGTTTGTCATATTTGTTTAAATACTGTTTGTTGATGCATAATATTATACAAAATTATATATCGTTATATATATATATATATATATATATATATATATATATATATATATGAAAAATATAGTCTTAAGGTGTGCTATATTTATGGGATAAAGTGCTCAATATCAGAGATAGAGCGTGTGTAAATATAAAAGTGAACATAGAAGTCAACACTTAGAGGCGACAGGCTGTTTCATGCTAGACGCAATCGTCAGGCCACGAGTGCTGTTATTTTTCTCGGCTATTTATATATACGGGTTAGTGACACATTAACCGATAAATTAACCGTTAGAAATAAACAAATAAAGATAATCAATCCAAATAAATACATGAAGTAATAAACAAATTAAAAACTGCTGATCAAAGGTTCAAATAATAATACCTTAAGAGAGAGAGCAATGCTTCGAGAAAAAGCTTAAGAAGTTACATACCGGAGATGCTATCTTTCGGGGTGGATTTAGTGGGGAAAGTAGGAACGGTGTGTGCCTGTGATTTATTGTACCGGTCCCGGAAATTACTATCGATTAAACAGGAATTGATGAAAAACCACCATTAATGTACCTAAATAATAAAAAATAGATAGAAACAAGGGGAAAATAAAACAATAGAAGTGCTGTAACATAATAGATATTTACACCATCTTTATTATTATATTCATGACGTTTCGGCTGTTGGACCCTTCGTCCTTCTTCAGTCCGAACCCTTTATTTCGTCCACCGGGGTAAATTATTCTAGTTCCACGTGCCATGCCTTTTCTTGATATCTCAGATTCAATTTCCCTTTAGTAACCCAACTCTCCAAGTTTTTTGTTCACTTCTGCTCTGGCCAGGTATTGAACTCGTAATTCTTTTGAGTTAAGCCACTTTTGGATTACGTCAACCAACGCTTTTATCCACTGAGCCATGTATCCTTAGGGAGGCGAACAACGGCCGGAACGTCGTGAATATGACAATAAATACGAGGACAACAATCCGAACAATATAAATACTGTAAATAGTTACAATACCTCATCTCAGAAATATATATATATATAGAAAGAAATTCGGATTACCAACACACAAACAGAGAATGTCTCATATCGAGAATATTTCACATTGAACATGAAGAAAAATTAATTATTTTTAATAATATGTAGAAATCTCCACTTTTACCTGAAGACGGTCGCGAGACCAGAAACACGTGTAGTAAAATTATGTAAAACAAAGCATAATATTTTTTTGTAAATAAATCCACATTACAACCAAAAACGTTTGCGGCACCTCTTTCTTTTTTAATATACATACTTTTCTCTCGTTGGAACCATATTTATATATTTCTTTTATATATATATATATATATATATATATATATATATATATATATATATATATATATATATGTGTGTGTGTGTGTGTTATTATGTGTATGTATGTATATTTGTATATGTATGTATATGTGCATTTGTATATATGTGCATGTATGTATATATATTTATATTTGGTTTGTTTATTTTTTACATCGCTGTGTGTTGATATATTTATACTTGCTTCTGTATGTGTATATATACATATGTATATGCGTATATAGGTATGTGTAGACATATATTTGTGTGTATGTTTGTATGTGTATATATGTATATATGTGTGAGTGTACACTTATATCTATAGGTAGTTCTTATTTTCTTTCACCTAATATATAATAAAGCATATATCGACTTATATGATAAAAAATATACATTTTTATAGATGTTTGTGTTTGGAATTTTCGTTTTTTATATATTAGATAATGTTATTTTTAACCATTTTAATCTTTGTATATTTGCTCGTATAAGTTATATTTTAATAAGTGGTTAGCATTCGTTTAATGACACTTTCAGTCTTGAATATTTCTTGGTTGTGGTATCAGATTGTGTAGGTCAATGTATGTAGATGTGGGTATATGTATTTATCGGTGTCTATGTGTATAGAAAATGCATGCGCATTTAATTGTGTATGTATGTATGTGTTCGTTCTTTTTTTTTTGTTTTTTTTTTTATAAAGGGCCGTGGAGATGTTTCTTGTCTCGTCACTTTTTTGCGTGTGTATATATCTAAATATGTCTGGGTGCTTATATATTATAATCTGAGTGTGTTTGTATTGTTTTACGCGAGAGGTTATGACCCCATTCACACACTTGCGATTAAAATCTATACATTTTGTCGGGTAGACCAACTGATATGAAAGTCTATTCTAACGTAATTTCAATGAAGAAATAAATTGAATAACATATATATTTTTTCTTTTCTCCTCCGTAATTTTATAATTTTAAACTTAATAGAGATTAAATTTAGATTTTAAAATTGGAAAGTTTTTACTTTTAATTTTAATATCAAATTTTATCATATAATTTAATACTTATTGGTTAGAATAAATTCTATTTTAGTATAACCCCAACTTTAAAGCTCTTAATAGCTATTATAACCTTAGTTCGTTGTCAAGTTTTTTGAATTCTCCTATACTTGTGTTTTGATTGGTCATTCTAGCTGTTGTAAAAGCGTTTTCCCATTACGAAGGATCGTTTATTAATTTGAAACTTTTAAAACCATTTATTTTACATTCAACATCATCACTTGATAAGACACCAGGGGTGTTGAAACAAAATGGCTAATTTTGTAGTGATTTTATAACATATTTATGTTATAATTTTTAATAAATAATTATATATATATATATATATATATATATATATATAAACTGGTTGTAAAGTTTAAATTAAAATTTCTCGTTATCCCTTTATACGAAACGATGTGAAACCAAATGCAGAACAAAGTGTATGCGGTTAGCTATCGATAGACATATTTTTTTTAGAAATATCGTGTAAATTTACAGATGGCCAAACGGCTAAGAATATCAGATTTCCTACGTGTGCAAACCAACCCTAAAAGCATCTGGTAATATAGGGTGTTCCTTTGAACTATCTACAATCTCACAAGATCATAGACATACGCAATTGCATGCAGAGTAATTGGAGCAGAAATAAGAAAACAAAAGGTGGAAACCGGACTTCATTAACGCCTTCAAAATTTAAAACGCGAAGAACCCAACGTCTTAAAGTGACAACCTGGTCCTTAACTCATCAGAATGATAAACCACTTTCCCTTGAAGATCAGGAATTTGGAAAGGTTAAATAAACAACTCAGACAGATCAAGAATATAGGTCCACTATTAAAATACTCTGTTTTCGCTTAGTACTTCTCATTCATTATTTTATGATTTTCTTTCTTTCTTTCTTTCTTTCTTTCTTTCTTTTTTTTTTCTTTCTTTCTTTTTCTTTCTAGACCTGTTTCTTTGTACACTTTTTTGTACCTTTGTTTGATTCTTTCTTTCGTTCTTTCTTTCTTTCTTGGTAAAATCGCTCCTTTGTTTGTTTCTCTTTTTTTTTTCTTAGTAGAATTGCTTCTTTCTTTTTTGTGGATGTGTTTTTTGATTTTTTTTTTTCTTTCTTTTTTTTTCTTTCTTTGCAAAAAATTTTTTTTTCTTTCATTTTTTTTTGAACAGAATAGACCTGTTTGTACAGTTTTTCTCAAAATTGTTTGATTTCTTTCTTTTCTTTCTCAGTAGAATTGGCTTTTTTTTTTCTTTTGTTTTTCATTTTTGTAAACAGACTTTTTTCTTTCATTCCTTTTCTTTCTAGACATCAGTCTTTTGTGAATATTTTGTATCTTTGTTTGAGGGGGATAAACTTTTTTTTTTTTCTTTCTTTCTTTCTTTCTTTCTTTCTTTCTTTTTAACACTTTCCCATCACTCCAGACGGCGTTAGAAAGAAATGATCTATGAAATATTTATTTCTGCGCATCTTGTGATGGTGTGACGTGAATTATTCAAATTTTAGTCCCAAGCCCATCGATCCATCTTTTTCCTTATTTTTTGTCTTCGTCTTCTTCAGCCGCACCATCCCCCCCTTTCCCCCAGTTTTCTTCTTGCCTTCTTTCCTTCATTTTTTCTTTTTCCCTTCTTTTTTTATTTATTATAAGCTGTTTCTCTGACACGATGTTTCCAGTCTTTTGAAATTCACCAGCCCTACAAATTCAACCGATAGTCAACGCCCTCAGCAGCGTCTTTAAGCACACATTGCTCAACAACTAATCTTCGTGTGACTTGTTAATCTCTTCATTCCGACGCGACTCCAGTCACCAATGCTTAAAACGATGACAAGATTCAATCAATTGCCTTCTTTTATAATAATAATAATAATAATAATAATGATACAGTCAGTAACAACTTTAGTGCATAATAAAGCAGATTTAGTTTTACTGGACAAACAGAAAGATTTGATACTTGATAGAAGTATTCTGTCCATTTCACATGAGAATTTAAAGCTAAGAAAAGAAAACAGACAACGACAATGGCTTAAAATATGACCTTTCAATGCTTTAGATTTTTATCTGTGGACGCCACCTTAAAAATTGGTTTATACAGCAGATATTAATACGGCAGAGACGTTTCACAAGGTTTCATGGGGGTTAGCGGAACAATTCAACACCGTGTGGGAGTATTTGAAAGGGTCCGACAGTCATTGATCCGACGGGTGCATGCGTGCGTAGAAGCAAACAAAGGGCATTTTGAACATTTGTTATGAGTTTCTGTTTTGAGGTACAACGATGGCCTTTTAGACATATGTTTCTATAGACATTATACCTTGTTTTAACATTCTGAAAGTTAGAGAACGAGTAAAGAAAGTAATTATAGGACCACCGGTCATTGGAACACTATGGGCAGGATAAAAATTGGATTGTGATTAAGAAATGGAGCCATATAAAAAATCTTGCCTATTCGAAACAGCGACGATATTTGAAAAATATTGGATGCATTTTGTTGATGTAAAGAAAGAAAAGGATTCGTAAGTACAGGGGGAAACAGTGAGGATCGAACGCACTTCTCAATTTCAATCGGTCTAGCGAAACAAGGGTGTTAACCATTACACCACGTCGAGGCGCCATCCTCCCTGCATAACATGACTGCAGCATTTTATCAGGTTTTGCAGGGACATTTGTTTCTCTTTTACATATATTATGACTTTGACTATTATTTTAACACCAACACATAAGGTTTAGTGTGCATTTCTATAGTAAGAGTCACCCCGTACAAGGCCCAAGGTCCACTCGAGGTAGAGGGTTAAGTAACAGGTAGCAAGAACTGGGAAACTCCTATCTAGTAGCGACAGAGCAGGAAGACACTCCCCACATCACGCCTGTGTTAGAGAGGCTGGAGGGTAGACAATAATTAGTCACCTACAAGGACCCTGAATTGCTTTTGGACTCTATCGAGACTGGAAAGTAAAGATTGGGCAACTCCTGTCCAGTAACGACAGAGCAGGAAGAGATTCGCCATATCACGCCTGTGATAGAGAGGCCGGAGGGTAGACAATAATTACTCACCTACACGGAGCCTGAATTGCTTTTAGTCTCTGGAAAGTAAGGACTGTACAACTCCTGTCTAGTAGCGACAGAGCAGTGAGAGAAACAGTCCCTTAATATTCTCTCAACGGCACGGGTTTATTTTCCTACGTCAATAAGTATGACCTGAAAATAAACTTCTTAGCAGCAACCAAAATCATATGTTGCGTCTAAGAAGCGAAATCTTGGAGTACATCGCCAAGGCGGATCAGGCAAAAATGCAGAGGTTTCAAGACATGGCAGGGTAAACCAAAGAAATATACCAAGTAGCAGCTTAGGTTCTACGTTTTGTCGTTGGTGCACTCGGGAATGCTGTCGGGATACCTAGTATCATTTAGAGTGAACAGCTGGCAGCGCTGCTTGGAACAGCTCATGTAACGAGTGTTGCGTCTCCAAATTGCGAGGAACTGACACGTGACCATTATCACCCGGCCGAAGCATCGCAGAATCTGAGAGGATATCAACTCAATTATTATTATTATTATTATTATTATTAATCATAATAATAATAATTGTAACAGAAAACGATAAAACTACTATTCTCTTGTGAAGTAATGAATAGAATCTTGAAAACTATAATTAGTTAAAAGAATTCACTACAATTTCTTTAGTAATTTCGTCATCAATTTTGGATTTGTTTAGCGTCCAGCTGTATCAACTGCTAATTATAAATGGAGTTTTGCATATGAATACAACAAGAGGTTTGGACTTGAAGTCAAATAGAAATAGTCCCGCCAAAAACAAGAGAAGTCAAGTCAAGATCTTCTGGGATTTCAACATTCAAACAAATCACATCATTGAGGTCATCGAACAAAACATTACTGTCGTTAAAAAAAAAAAAAAAAAAAAGAAAAGGATAAAGATTAAACAACAACATGACGCCTCATCGATGGAACTATTTATGGTGACCATAATATCAAAGTCAATGTAATTGAAAATATGACCTCCGGATCAAGTTTGCTAGATTGTGGGATCGTTCAGGCCAGTATTAGCCCCCACCGAGCCACAGTTATCATTGGGGCGCTGGGGTCTTTACCACCGAATATAAAGACCGAAATTAAGAAAATCAGATTAAAGCCTAATAGCCCATCGTTTCAGAAGTTTGTGTTGCTTGGCTCAGTAAATATTTTACGAATTGTGCTGTTTGAGGTCATACTATTTGATGACGAACACCCAGAATGCAAGATATCCGGTTGAAAACGAAAAAACTGTGCGAAAGAAGAGATAATAATAATAATAATAATAATAATAATAATAATAATAATAAAGAAAACTGTTATTAATTGGCCAGTGGAACTGTGACAGAAAGCAAGGCTATTAAGAACGGTAAAAATAATCCGAAAAGTGATGAACACTTGGATGCAGAGGAAAATTGCATGATGCATAAGGCTGTTGGTTGTAGCCCACTATCCATGCAATAATTACCAGATATCAAGATCTTATCTGCGAAAATACCTATAGCAATATTGAACGATTTGAAATGCAAATAGATCCTTCAATCCAGGTCAGAAGACTAGACTTAATCTGAAATTACGCACCAAATTTTAACATTTCTCTTTAAGATGCATCGTGAGCATTTGAAATGAAAAGGAACACCGTAGCACCCGTCACAGTACCCCAAAGAGATTTCTCGAAAGTAAACAGATCCTTCGAATATAAGATAGGAATAAACTGGTGGCCTCTCGTGGGAACGTATTTTCAAATGACAAACTAAGAAATACGCTGTAAGGAGAGACAACTTTGTCCAGGATGTTTTTCTACTAGATTTTTTTTCGCCACATGCTGACGTGTATTAAAATCCTACACAATATCGTTAAACTTAACGCTAACATTTTTGTTGAGATTTAAAAACTCTATTCTCCCTACTGTGTTTATATATATATATATATATATATATATATATATATATATATATATATATATATATATATATATATATGTAAGCAAATATGTGGATATAGATCTGACAGTATGAAGAAAAATATGGAAAAACAAAAATCCGAATATGCAAGTTTTTTTTTTTCCCAGTCTAGTAGACCTTCTTCAGGACAGGGTTATTAAAACATAATTAAAATTAGACGATATTCAAGTCAACATGAAGAGACGATAGATATAAGACTAATCAAAACAGAATAACTGAAATTTTTAAAATCAGCGTTCCGTTTCGCAATATATATATATAGGGGTTGGACAAAATAATTGGAACAGGTGCAAAATCCACTCGTATATTTCAAAGACCTATTATATTAAGAAGTTTAACTAAAACTTCCTAATTGCAGGTTATATCTATTGTAAATGCATTTATTTATCTAATTTACTGTATTTGTCTTATCTATTTTTAGATCGCATGGCAGGGGCCTCGATCACTAAGGTTGCTGAACTGTTTAGTTTTTCAAGGGCTACCATATCAAGAACTATGACGCAATTCGAGAAACAGGGCAAGATCTCTAGCAACCGTAGCAATTCAGACCGGACTTGCAAACTTCCTGACAGAGACTGACATGCATTGAAACGCAATGTGGCAAAAAAATCATCGGACTACTGCGACAAAAGTGACTGTTGAGTTGAATAATCATCTGAATAGTCGAGTTTTTACTAAAACTTCGTCGTGAGCTCCATAAGGCTGGATATCATGGAAGAGCCGCCGTAAGGAAACCTCTTCTCTCCACTCGCAACATTCAGAAGAGGTTGAAGTGGTGCAGAGATCACAATGCCTGGTCTGCAGATCAATGGAAGCAAGTCATATTCGCAGTCCAGTTTTTCTCTTTTCCCAAACTCAGGGCGATTTTATGTGCGGAGGCAGGCCAAAGAAGCTTACAACACTGACTGCCTTAGTTTGGGCCACCATATCATGGAAATGTCACGGTCCAATAGTTGCCTTGCATTGTAGAATCAACAGCAAAGATTACCTGAACATTTTGGGAGATCCTGTTCATCCTGCTCAGACTTTATTCCCTGATGGTGACTGCAACTTCCAAGAAGATAATGCTCCAATACATACCGCTCGAGTGGTTAAGAATTGGTATGAAGAGCATGACAGTGAGCTAGAACACATGGAGTGGCCTCCCCAATCTCCAGATATCAATATTATTGAACATTTGTGGTGCATTTTGGAGCGACAAGTTAGGAGCCGCTATCCGCCACTGTTGTGTCGTAAAGAGCTGGAGCAGGTGTTAATGGAAGAATGGAAGAGAAAATTCCTCTGAATGAAGTCAGGAAGCTGTATGATTCCATTCCTAGACGTATTAAAGCTGTATGTGAGGCTAAAGGAGGACCAACTCCATATTAAATAAATTTTCTTTGAATTTAACAAGTGTTTCAATTATTTTGTCCAAGCCCTGTATATATATATATATATATATATATATATATATATATATATATATATATATATATATATATGAATATTACTGGTTCATAAATATTTTTGTCACACTTTTTGAATTATGTCACTTTGTGTCTTCCATATGTTTTGATTGACTTTTCAACCACTTGATGAACATTCACGAACGTTCTCAAATTTAAAAGCCTTGACAAAACAATGACATCCTTGCTCTTGTATATAAACACGTGCAGCAAAATAAATCTTACATTGCCTTGATA